GCAGGAACCCGCCTCCGTCACTCCCCAGCGACCAACGCCCCGTCACCTGGGGCACGTGGCCTGGCCCCCACCTCATACAGAAATCTTTTTTCCACATTGCTACCGCCGCACCTTTGCTTGGGCTGTCTGCCCGCCTTGGATGCCCTGCCTTCTCTTCTCTGACCTGCCCCATCCCACCTCCTCCAAGAAGCCTTCCCAGAAACCCTTTCCTGGCTCCCGCCCCGGTGAGGGCCCTGCGCCCACAGCCCTGAAAGCTCTGACTTCTCCCAATCCTGACCCCCCTGGATGTTCCTAGCTCCTGTGAGAGTGTCTGCTGTGCCCTGAGGGCTGAGACTTTTGGGCTCATCTTGGTATCCACAGCAATGCCTATCAATGGCACCTGGTACACATTAAGTGCACAATAAAGACAAGTATTCCACCAAGAGCTTCTGGACCACAACCCTGCCACCGGCCACACCCCTGGGCCAGCGGCGGCTCTCAGAGTATGTACAATCATCACCATTTTCACTGCAGGCTGAGGTCACTTATGAAGTTCCTACTGTCTGCTGGGCACAGCACTTCCCACAAGTCACTGGTACTGTTCTTACTGGCTGAGAAAATTAAGGCTCAGAAAGAGGAAGGGGCTTGGCCAAGGGGACACAGCCAGTGAAGTCCCTGGTGATGCCTGGCGCGAGGACATCACCCCCAGCCCTCCAGCCCCCCGGCCTAGGGGCTTACACCAGCTCCATGCAGGGCTCCGTGTCATTCACCAGGACCTGGAGCTCGGAGCCCACATGGAGGTCGCTGCCGTGGATGGTGATCCTGGTGCCCCCTGCCTTGGGGCCCACGGCAGGCTCCAGGGAGTAAACCAGGGGCAGCTGTGGGGAGGAAGGAAGGCGGTCAGGCCTCAGGCCAGCCCGGGGTGAGCCTGGCAGGGTGGGCAGGGGCGTAGGCTGCAGCCTCCCTTACCACGTAGGAGAAGCGCTCCCGTGACCTGCCCTCCTTGGAGGCGTTCACCGTCACCACGTCCGAGAACGCCCCCAGGGCTGGCCCCGTGGCACACACGATCCTGGGGGAGGCAACTCTGGTCAAGGAGCAGCCAGCGGATCCTGGGGGCCCAGGCAGGTGCCATCTGGTTTCTCCCTCAAGCAACGGCCCCTGCTCCACCCCCAGGGTGTGTGAGCGCCCCATCCTTGCACTCAGCCACCCACCCTCCCACTCACACCTGGCGCTGGCATTTGGCCAGGACACCCAACGGCATTACCCATGTCAAAATACTGAGACAATTCCCCATCAGCTGGAAAACAGCCACTGAGTCCCCCAGGTGTCACCCTGGTGCCAAGCTCTTCCCCGGGACCACCCCTGACCTGAGTTTACGACAGTTCTGCAGCTATAACACAAGGAGATTGGATAAGATGGTCTTTGGGAATACCTGAAAGTTCTCCAACCATGAGAACATTTGCTGGGCTGGTAGACTGATGGCCTTATCTGCAAGCCTGACTTACAGCCTTCGGAAAGGAAACCCAGCTCATTCCCTGCCCTCCGGGCCAGGCTCCACAGCTGCAGGCCCAGACCTCTGTGCCACACCAGCGGCTCCCACACTTTCTTAACGGCAATTTTTTTCATTGGAGCAAGGATTCCGTGGAGGTAGGGCTGGTCTAGGGGAACACGGGAGGGCTTCCCAGGGGAGCAGGCGCCTGAGTGGTGTCCCGAGCAGGAAAGGGCAGGACGCATGGTGGGAATGGCCTGAGCAAAGTCCGGGAGACCCAGGAGTGAGTGGCTTCTGGGGAGCAGAAGGGTGCCGAGGAGAGTGGGATGGCAGAGGGGGGAGCGGGGAGAAGAAAAGGGAGAGGGGAGGGCAGAGATGCAGTTGGCACTTCCGGGGGCGGGGGTGGGGCCTGCAGGTCACTCAGAATGGCCCCAGGGAACTGCCCTCTACTCACTCCTCTGACACCGTGTATCTGTCGGCCAGCGGCTCACAGGCCACGCTGCCAATCCACACTCCACGGACCACGTCACTGAGCCGCCGGCCCAGGTTCCTGCCGCGGATGGTCAGCAGGGTCCCGCCATCCAAGGGGCCACTCAGGGGCTCAATCTGCCAGGCGACCAGAGAAAGGGGTGAATGGGGTTCAGAGGCTGCGATGCTGGCAGGCTCCCAGGGAGGCAGGGCCAGGCAGACCCATCACTTAGGGGAGGCTCTGAGAGCGCTGGCACCACCAACCACTTGGCAGGTCACTGGGGCTGCCAGTTGTGATACTGAGCCGGCTTGGGTCTGGGGACACCAGTGCATAGGGACAGAGTCACTGCTATTTGAGGGGCGTCTCCTGGGGACACCAAGGTCCACTCCCAGTGGCCATGTCTGACCACATGACCCTACATCCCAACCAGAGCTGACTGGGCCTGGGATGGGCACCTGACCCAGGCTAAGCCAAACCGACTCCTTCCCTGAGATTTTTTTCTTAATTAAAACTGAGGCTTCGGAGTTACTGGCAGCCCCCATTTTCACCTTATCAGCAAGGTTTCCCTGACCTCGCTATAAAATTTAGAGACCGTCAGCCCCAGCATCTCTTCCACCCCAGACTCCCAATGCCGCCGCCCTGCCCTGCGGTAGCACTTACCACCTTGTCTACGTAAATTATTTCCTTTCTCATTACTGTCCCCTAACCCCAACTAAAACATTAGCTCTGAGAAGGTAGGTACTTGTTTCGTTCCCTGCTGTGTCTCTAGCACCGGGCAGGGCCCGGCACCCAGCAGGCGCTCAGGGGGTAATACAGTGTGCATGGGCCTGGGTGTGTGCATGCACGTGTGCTGCGGGTCCCTGAGCCCACGTGGGGTGCTGTACGTGTGCACATTCAGGCATGCGCGTGCAACGGGCTTCCGAGGGGGGAGGTGGGGGCGGGGTGCTTACCGCTCGGATCTCGGGGGCGGGGCAGGTGTCAGGCAGGGGCTGCAGGGTCCCCCGCAGGCGACAGCCGTCACTCCACACACACAGGTGGCCCAGGTCCTCCCGGCCCAGGCACTGGGAACAGTCGGGGCTGCCCATGGCGCAGTTATAGACCTCCACTGCGGGAGACACGGAGGCAACACAGGTCAGCAGGGTCCTGGTTCTTAGGATCAGGACCCCATGAAGTTCTTAGTCTTCTCCAAACCCCCTGGGGGCTGTGCTAAGCACAGGGCAGCCACAACCTCATTAACACTCATCCTCACTGTGAATCTATCCAGTGGGAGCTGTTTATTAGCTCCATTTGACAGATAAGAGATGAGGCTCAGAGAGGTAGAGTGACTTGCCCAAGGTCACACAGCCTGTGAGTAGCAGAGCTGGATTCATACCCAGGCCCAAGTGGGTCTCCTGAGCCCACGGAGCTCCAGGATGCTAGGGAACCACTGAGCAATGCGGGTTCTGTGAGCCTCAGACCAGACCCTCAGACTGGCACAAGGAGGAGTGCAGGGCCAGTTCTCCAGGGCCTCAGGATGTGCAGGCTGGTTCTGGGGCTTCTGTCTGGGACCTTCATAGTATGGATGTGGGGGGTGCCCATGTCCACCGAGAAGTCTGAAACTCCCCATGAACAGACAGGCCCTTAGAGAGTTGATTCAGTACATATAATAAGAGCAAGGACACCAACCACCATATGGGGGCACAGAGTGTGTCCCAGACACCCTTGCAAGGCTTTGTGTGCACCAACTCAGCAAATCCTCACCACACCCTCTGTGAAAGGGCCTCTGCCCTTGCTTCATATGAGGACAGAGAGGCTCAGAAAGGGAAGGGTAAGGAAGTACCCGGGGCTGCACAGCCACTGGCCTGGAGATGCCCCGAGGGCGTGGGGCCCGCCCAGAGGAGCTGCTCAGTAATCAAGCGCTGAGTAACTGACCAGGCACAGAGAGGCAGGGCTGGGATCTGAGAGAGAGAGAGAGAGAGAGAGAGAGAGAGAGAGAGAGAGAGTGTGTGTGTGTGTGTGTGTGTGTGTGTGTGTGTGTTAGGGAACACCGGCGCGCGCGGGAATGAGTCCCCCAAGGCTGCGTCCCACCCACCGCGAGGCTGAGTCCCCTGAGGCCGTGTAAGGCGCTCTCACCTGTCATGTGGTCAGGGCTGTCCAGGAATCGGGCCGGCCGCCCCTTTAGTTGGAGGCTGAGTGGAAACACCTGGCTCTTCTGGGTTGTGTGCAGCTGCAAAAGGACAGGAAAAACCATGAGAGGTGTGAATGGTGTCTGGGTCTTTGCTGGGGGAGGGGTGTCAGGGAGACAGATGAGGGCAGGGCTACTGGGGGCAGGGGGTCCAAAAAGAGGAGGTAGAAAGGAAGAAGTGTAGGATCTGGACTTGCACAGGCCTCCCCTTCCCCTCTGCCCCCGACCCCCGCCCTTACAGCCACACCCCTCACCACCACTTGGCTGCAGCATACAGCTGATTCATTCACCCACACAGCCTCAAAGATCTCTTCTTGACCAAAGCTACATTCAAGCGCTGCACCCTGTGGGAGAGGGGGGTTGGGGAGAGTCAGGTCAGCACCCACTGCCCTGCACCTCCATCAGGACATCAGACACTGCTGTCCTGAAGAGTGGGCGTGGTCCTACTATCAGGCCTTTGCCTGGGCTGCACCTCCTCCAGGATGTCCTTCCGGGCCTCCATGTCCAATGTTTGATGGAGGCAGGGGGTACATAAACACCTGGAACCTTGGCCTTGTGCTCTCTCCATGCCACCAGAAGTCTCACCAACATCTCCCAATGGCCTAAACCCGGGGCCTTTCACTCCGCGGGTAAGGCCCTGACTTCAGCGTGACCGACATACAAGGTTCATCCCAGTGAGACTCCACCTGTCCTTTAACGTCAACACCCCCCCACCTCTGCCCCACAAGGCCTGGGACCAGCCACAGGACACATGTCGACATAGCACACAGGCTGCCCTGCCCTCAGCCTTTGCCCAAGCCCATTCTTCGAGCCAGCAAAACTCAACACATCCTTCAAAATCCAGCTCAAATGTCCCATGTTCCAAAGCCTTCCCAGACTCCCCCCTCAAATCACAGGGGCACCCCTCACTTGATCATTCATCCATTCAGCAATGAACATTTGGGTGTGCGCCAGGGGCTCCATTAAGCTCCTAAAGCCTGTCCCCGACCCTGTATGCCAAGGACCACCCTTATCCCCTGTGCAGGCTGTCTACACCTGTCCCCCCAACCCACTGGGGAGGGTTGGGGCTGGGTCTCAGCCCCTCTGGCACCTCCAAGGGCAGCAGATGGCAGCTGAAATAGCTCAGGTTCTACCTTACACAGGCCCATCCAGGTTCGAATCCCACCTCTGCTACCTCCTAGATGTGTGACCCTGTGCAAGTGGCTCCTCCTCTCTGGGCCTCGGGTTTCTAAACTCTGCAACAGAAAGAGGCTGCTCTACTCTGCAGGATTCTAGGAAAACTGGAGATCATGTTATCTTTAGTGGGTTGCACACTGTGGGTGCCTAATATATGCTGGCAGTTATTAGTATGCAAGAGGTGCTCAATAAGTGCTTGCTGAAAGACTACAACAAGGCCAATTCCCCAATCCCGTCTTGCCCTCAGCCCAGCAGAGGCCTCCGGGAATAGCATCAGTAAATATTTGCTGAATGAACAAACCCGGGTTTTGAGTGTGTCAGGCCAGCCGCGTGCGTGGCAGGACTTCCTGTTTACGTCCCTGTCGCTGGCAGATGTGACACCCTGAGGAGATAGCAGGTCAGCAACTCCCCTGCCCTGCCCCCTACCCGCTTCGTTCTGAAACTAACACAGGAAAGTGGCTGTTGATAGGGCTGAGAGCTCATGTGTCCCTGCCACGCTGACCTGGGAGGTGGGTCTGTCATCCGAGTCCCTGGGCTCAGGGCCGCAGGCGAGCGGCACAGCCCTCCACATGGGTCCAGGCCCCTTGCTGCCCCTGGAGGCTCTTCCCAACCATTGCAGGGAAGAGCTTGAGGGCCCAGGGCAGGGCCGCCCTGCCCCTCACTGAGCTGCAGCCCCTGCCACGAGGCTGCCTGACGCATCCCAGATGCCCGGCATGTGGCCCCCACGTGTGACAGGCGTCATGGGCCTCGGCTCCCCCATGGAAGCGACAGATGGCAAGTCCGCAGAAGCTGGGGAGGGGGTGGCTGGCATGCTTCCAGGACTCATCAACACTTCCCACCCAGGACGCTCCTCCAGGAGGGACCCAGAAAGGGGCTGTGTCCCTTCCCGCAGCCCAGATGGGCAGGGGGAGGGGAAGACTGGCTGTAGGGAAGAGCACTGAACAAGGAGTCCAGGGCTGGCGTGCAAGTGCAGCCCTACATCGTGTGACCTGGAGGCACCTGCGTCCCCTTCCTAGGCCTCATTTACCCCACCTGGACAATGGGGAGTCAGGCGGCAAAGAGGTTCTCTGGCCATTCTCCAGGGAAGACATGTCAGCCACGAACTGGGGAGGTATCCAGGGTCACAACTCAGCCTGGGGGCTAGGGCAGGGCGGGCACAGTATGGACAGCGTCACCCATGGGCTGCGGCACTGGGCGGGGGCTGGGCCTGGATCCGTCAGGGGAGCTTTAGAGGGTAGAAGGGTCTGGGGGTCCTGGCCAGGCTTTCCTGCGGGCACTGGGGGCGGCCTGCTGTCCCCGTGGCCTGGCCCTCCCCGCCCACTTTCCTGTTTCCCCAGCTCCGTGCAACCAGAGCGGGGCTTTCTCAAACATAGCCTGGAAACTCAGAGGAAGGAAACCAAAGCATGGGTGGTGGGCCCAGAGCAGAGTCCCCCACCCCGGGACGGCACTCTGCCAGCCCTCCGCCCCACCCCCGCCCAGCCTTCACTTACCTGGAAGAAGGCAGCGTTGGCCAGATGCACCGGAATGCTCTGGGAGCTGCCCGTGGGCATGGGAGCCAGGGCTGAGGGCAGGGTCTGCGGGCAGTCCTGAGGGCTCTGCAGTCAAAACCCAAGGAGGTGGGGCTGGCAATGGGGCATTTCGGAAAAGACGGGGTTCACGGCCACCCCAGCCAACCTGCACAGCCCCGTCTCCCCGGGGAGGCACCAGGCAGCCTGGGGAAGTGAGGAAACACTACTAACAAAACGTAGCAGCCACACACACTGAGGGCCGCGTGCCCACTGCCTCCCACATACCATCTCACTTGACCCTCACGGCAAGGCCTACGAGCAGGAGAATGCATTGGCCCCATTTCGCCGACGAGGAAACTGAGGCACAGAAAGATGCAGTACCCTGCCCAGTGGAACTGGGTCCCCATGGCCGCTCCACCGCGTGCCTCCCAGAGGAAACCTCTCGGTCTCTGGGCCTCACCTTTCCCAGCTGTAAAATGAGGGGCTCTACCACTTTCTGAGACTCCACCCAGCTCTGGAGTTCTGGTTTCCAGAGAGTAACTCACGATAAACGATTCAGAAAAGAGAAACCCCAGCCTTCTGAACAGCCCACGGGAAACAGGCTGTGAGCACCCTGGTGCCGCCAGGCTCCAGACCCCTCCGCATTGCCCGGGCGAGTCACAGGCCTCTGGGTGGAGGTGCCAGCGCCCGGCAAGTCCTGTGGAGGGCCTGGACATCCGCATTCCGCGGAGCCACAGAGGCGGCTTCAAAAAAGGAAGGAAGTTAGGGAGGGGGGAGGGAGGTATGAACCTGAGGTTCAGAGAGGAGGGGCGCTACCTGAGGGCAGAGGGCAGAGCTGCTCTTTGAATTCCCATCTGTCTGACTCTCGGGCCAGAGACTGAGGCCTGAAACTGAGGGCCAGGGATCAGGGGTCTTGACTCCTTACTGTTAATTAGACAGGGAGCTCCTTCAGGGGACCCTCAGGGGCCCAGCATAAAAACAAGAGCTCGAGGGATGCCAGTGCCATATTTACTATCATTGACCATGGTCATAGTGACAGCAGTAGCGGCCAGCTGGCACAGCCCTCCCTGTGCACCTGGATGCTTCTGAGCACTCTGCACAGTATTAATTCAACAAATCCTTCTCCCAACAGCCCTAGGAGGTAGGTACCACCATTACACCCATTTTACAGACTAGAATATTGAGGCACAGAGAAACCAAGTGGTTTGCCCAAGCACAGCAGGCTCTAGTTGTCCAGGATGTTTGCTGACCTCCAGGCCAGAAACCTCGCCCAGGCTGGTGAGTTTCCCTGGGAGCCGACCACAGGGGCCTTGGCCAAAGAGGCAGCATGGCTGGGCCCAGGTGGGGCCTCAGCGAACCACGCGGTGGGGCTGGGAGGTAGCAGCTGGTGTCCACTCGCTGTGTGACCCACAAGTCTATCCCTCTCTGAGCTGCTGTCCTGTGCCATCCATGTGTAACCCCCCCCCGGAGTTTCCGGGAACGGAAGCCACATGTTTCTAATCGGGTCTCACAGCCGCTGCCAGCCTGCCTCACAGATGGCTGGGGGCCCTGCGGCTCTGTCCTCCCAGCTGCCCCCCACCTGAGGGTAGGTGGCCAACAGCGGAGGCTGGAGGGGTGAGGGCTGGGGAAGGCGGAGCTTCCTCAAGAGGAAGTGACATGGGATCATCCCTGAGGGCCCCTACCCCCCTTGACCCTTATGAGCCACGGCCACCTGGATGCTTGTACCCATTCTACAGAGTGGGAGCAAGGCTCAGTGCGGGCGCATCTTTGCCCTCTTTCAGCACCTCCCCCAGGGTTGGCTAATCCTCCTTGGGGACAGCTGGTACATGTGCTGCCGGCCTCCAGCCCCCCACCATCTGCCTCCAAGTCTGCCTTGGCCATAGGGGAATCTCCCCAACCCCCAGGCCTGTGGTTCAGGAGGGCTGACCCTACTCCCTAGCCCCAGGGATGGGCGGGTACCCAGGCCCGTCCTGGACTCAGCAATTGGTATGGGGAGTGAACGTGACCCAGTTCCCCTGGAACTTCCGCAGAAGCAACGAGAAAGTCTCCTGGGGCTGCTGGGGATCAGGAGCCTGCCCGGGGCTGCTGAGGCCATCTTGCTGCCAAGAGGGGAGGGCCTGCCTGAGAGTGGAGGCCACTCAGAGGGGTGGGGAGGCCCTGCTGACACTGTTGGAGCCCCTGGATCCAGCTGTGCCTGAAGGGGACGCCGCCCCTCAGAATCTGTATTCACACACAAGCCACATGATTCTGTTGGGACTGACGCCAGTTTGAGCTAGGGCTTCCCTGCTCGCAAAGGACTGGGGCCTCCCGGTCCCAACCCAAGCAGAGTCGTCAATGCCTCAGAAAGATGCTAAGCAGCTTCTCCCCTTTGCCAGAGTGTAGCTGCAGGCTCAGGAAACCACGGCCGACTGACCGAACGAACTCTGGGCAGAGCCGAGAAGGCGGGAGACCAGGAATTGGGGGAACAGATGCCAGGGCGGCAATGCCAGGAGCCACAGAAAGCCCAGATGTGAGCCCAGTGTGTGCCAGTTCACAGGGGGCCTCACCTGTCTCCACACTGGACTTCACAGACTCCCCCAGGGTCTTTCTACGTTCAAGAGTTGAGAGCTGGGGTCCCAATCCAGCGGAGCACTGGGTGGCCCTGGGACCCTGAACCCACCTGACCTGTTCCTCCCCTACCCTTCTGCACCGCTCCCAGCCCCTGTAAACTTCCCCCGAATTCCCACCAAACTACCCTCTCCACCGGCTCCTAACCACCTTCATGGAGGCGTCTACCCAGGCTCCCCACCAAGAGACCCTGCCCTTCCATCTGCCCAAACCCTCCTTGCTTCTAAGGCTGAAAGTCATACCGCCTTGGGGTGGCCACGCCCTCCCTGGACACCTGAAAGTGGAGGATGCAGCGCCTTCCTTATGCTCCCCCCGCTGGGGGGAAAAGCTGGAGCCCTCCTCCTGGCATCCTGCACTCCCCGGTTTCCTTCCTCTGGGGCCCACGAAGGAACGGGAAGTGAGAGAGGACTCAGCCCCTAGCACCTGCCTTCCCAGAGACACCTCTCTGGCTTGGCCCAAGCCCTACCGCCTGCTCCCAGCTCCTGAGGGGTCCAGGAGGACGGGCAGACCCCGCTGCCTGCCACCCGATCAGGGGCATGGCGCCTCCACGGCTAACTGGCACTTAATTAAACGCCAAATTAAGCATCGGTTCAGAAGCTCCTGCAGGCCCAGCGTGGGAGCTGCCTCTTTTCCCACTGGATTGCCATAATCCTCTAAGACAGGCCCTCTCTGCACCCCTCTCAACCATGACCTGAAGAGCTGCAGACCTGGGAGAGAGTGGTTCACGGGGGCACTGCCACAGATACACCTCCAGGCTGCTGAGCTCCTATGCATCTGTTGGAACCCGGCAGAAGGTTCCCCTCCCAGAGAAGTCCTCCCTGATCCACCCAGCAGAGTGGCCACCTACTGTGTGTCAAGTATGAAGTTGGTACCTTACAGACAGGTGTAACTCCAGATGCCCGCCCCAGCCTTTGAAATTGGCTCCATTTTACAGACGGGGAAATAGGCACAGAGAGGTCTGGCAGCTTGCCCGGGATCACACAGCTACAACTCACACCTCAGGCTCTGGGTTCACGACGGGGAGGGCAGAACTGTGTCTAACCTGGTGCCTTCCCAGTGCCTAGGACACACCCAGGCATACAACACACGCTCAATAAATGAAGAGTGTTGAGGCTGGGTCCTCCTCGCCCCAGTATCCTAGGGTAGAGCACAGGAGGCAGATTGCCGGCATGAATGCTTCACAGTGACATTCATCAAGTCCCTACTGTATACACAGGCCAGGGCTGGGGCCGGAAGGAGATGTTGCCCCCAAACAAGAGCAGGAGTCCTGGCTGGCCTGGACTGGAGTCCCAGCGCCCACTGCAGAGGCTCGGAGCCTCCCCTGGGATTTGGCCACACAGCCTCTACCAGGCCTCTCTCCCAGCACTGGAAACCCCACTTTACTGCATCACTGCTTTGAGTTAAGCATTGCTGCTGTGGCACACCTCTTCCTCAAAGCAGTTCTGAGGCTCAGGCAGGAGGGGCTGAGACCACAGGATTCCAGGCTCAGGCCATGAAGTCCCTCCTCAGCATTACTCGTTGGCACCTGCCATGGGCAGACAAGGCTTTGGGGATTCCTGACGAGGTTCTCTGAGCCCAGAGCCAAGAGGCTGGGGCTTCAATTGCTCTGGGGACTGGTACTCTCTAGGGTTGCTGAAAATGTTGAAGGTAAAATTGAAAACGAGCACCAAGTGCAGAAGGGGGCCTCCTCCTACAGCTGGAAGCGTAAACTGGCTCAGCCTTTTCTGGGGGTCAGCTGAGCTAAAAGTGAAAAACATGGCGAGGCTTTCACCCCAAAATGCCATTTTGAAGAACTGGTCTCCAGGGAATAATCAAGGCCGTGCACAGGGCCCTGGACGTATCAGAACGCCAAAAAGAAACAGGAAGGATCAGCGTGCCCGACAAGAGGGGGTTGGTTAAATGCACTGTGATGTGATGAGCCCGGCACAGCTGTTAAATCTGGAGCGAAGGAAGAACATTTAATGATACGGAAATGTTCTCAACATACTAAATGGGAAAAAACCGAACACTGGAGGCAGAGGGCACCCCTTGGGCCTGGCTTACCGTGGGATTTGGTGAGGCCTCACACCGAGACTGGTTGGAAACACAGGAGTGCTGCTGGGTGCACCAGAAACAGGGCCATTGTGCCGATAGGCAGCTGGTGCAGCTGGAAGACAAGGGGGGCCCTCAGCTACCCGGCTCCCAACCCCGGTGCCCAGGAACCGGGACCCAGGGATGCAGATCCCAGTACAGGGGAAGGTCTTTCTCAATATCAGAGCTGCCGAGAGGGGCTGGGCACTCTGTTAGTGAGCTTCCTGCTGCAAGAGGTATGCACGGAGGAAATAGGTAAGCAGGGCCTTTACGACACTAAGTTAAGTGTAATCAAAGCATTTCTCTCGGCCTCTACCAGCCTGGGTGCTCAAAGACGCCGGGCACTGTGCCATCTTTGCCGGGCAAAGATGCCAGTTTGTTGCACAAACGCGCTGGCGAGTGAACAACCAAGAGTCCTGTCTGCCTCTGGGACACCATCACTTCTCTTCCCCGGGCTTCCCCAGGAGCAGAACCTCCTCCCGCCACCTGGAAGCAGGCCCCGCGCGACTCACGCTGTGTGGGGATACACCTGCCCAACACGGCCGCAGTCGTAGATGGTGAAACTGGCCCTGACGATGTTCTGCCCGTTGACCCTCACCGCCATCTCGACGGTCACGTGGTCTGGAACAGAGCAAGGGGTCCAGGGAGAGAAGAACAAGGGAGCAGGGGGTCTCCACCGACGTCAGAGGCTGTGATATCAGGACCCCCATGCCTGAGATTCCACCACCTGAGAGCCCCCATCTGGCTGTCCCCACAGCCCAGGCAGTGAAGGGCTTACCTTGGTGGGGTGGGAAGGGCGGGAACCGGTTCCTCGGCAGGAGGTTGCAGTAGGCGATCTGGTGGCCAAAGGCAGGGCCCGGAACCCGAGCCACAGTGTGGATGTCGTTTCCATAGTCACAGGCCATCTCCATGCCGCTGAGGCTGGGCAGGCTCCCTGAGATCTGCAGTATCATACCCTGGAGGCCAGGGCCCTTAGCTGGGGGGGTGGGGAACGGGGTGGGGGTGGGGGGGGAGGAAGGCCACTCCCTGCACCGCCCCACCCCTGCCCTGTAACCCCGGGAGAAGAGGTGGTGGGTGGTCAGGACTCCACGCCAGAGGGCTGCAGCCTACATGGGCCTCAGTTTCTCCATTTGCAAAATGAAACTGACCATCTTACAGTAGCCAGAGGCGCTGCATGATGTGGCCCCCGTGACCTCAGACGCCATCCTCTGACACGCTCTCAAATCATGAGTCTTGGTCCCACCTCAGGGCCTTTGCACTGGCGGTTCCCTCTGCCCAGATACTCACCTTGCCTTCCTACCTCTGCTCAGATGTCGCCTTTGCAGTGAGCCCCCCACCTCGACCTGGTCTAAAATGTCAACGCTGCCCCTCAACCTACTCGCTCTGCACCCCGTTCTCTGCTCTGCTTTCTTTTTCTCTGTAGTACTTATCACCACCTTGGCATTTTATCTTGCTTCGCCTCTCTCCCTTATGAGCATGTCAACCCCTCAAGGGCCAGGCGTTTGTCTATCTTGTTCACCGCTGTGTCCTCAAGTCTAGGCCTGCGCGTGGCACAGAGCCAGTTTGCTTGACCAGATGACGTGTGTGCAGGACTGTGACATGTAACGATGGGGAGGAGGGCGCCCAGGAGCCCCAGGGCCTGTCTGGGCCATCAGAGCCATCATCTCCCCCAGGTGACAGAGGAAGATGCCAGCCTCAGAGAAGTCACTGAGGGCAGGGCTGGGTGGGACCCAAGCCTGTCTGTCCCTCAGCCCCTGCCAGGGCCTGGAACACCCCTGCCCAGAGGCTGCTGCTACAGGTAAGCAGGAGGCTGCGGCAGCTCTAGGCCCTCCTGGACACGGGTGAGGGCGTAGCTACTTGCCCCCATGCTGCAGCTTCATCTGTTTCCCAGCTCGAGAAACAGCAGTCTGGCACTTGGTGGCTTCCCCCGACCCCGTACTGGGGCCAGAAAAAGGCAGGATGTGAGATGGGGGGTGCTGGCTCTCCTTTCATCTTCCAATTTGTCCCCCCTCTTCTGGGACTCTGGAGCCCACCCACTTGAATTCAAATCCCAGCTTTGCCACTCCCTCGCTGTATGACCTTGAACAGGTCACTTCACCGCTCTGGCCTCAGTTTCCTCGCCTGTGAAATGGGGATGTTAAGACCATCTGGTCGTTATTGTTCTCGTCATCTGCCTCCAGGTCCCTGGGGTGCTATGCGCAGGAGTCTCCACCTCTCAGGGTTTGGGTGCCAGGTGAAGGGCTGCTCTCCACCCATACTTCTGACCCCAGAGCTGGGTCCTGGCTCCCCAGAGACTCACCGGGTACTCTTGGTGCACATCGATCTCAGCCGGCAGGACGGTCATGGCGGGACAGCGGCCGGGGCCCTCGCTGGCACTGGTCCAGAAACGCGGCTGGCTGGAGTTGGCGCAGTCCTGCTGCAGGGTGCACCTGGGGCGGCACGGCACAGGTCAGGACGCAGGGTGGCTCCCCCGCCCCGACGGCCTCCCTGGCCCAGCCCCCGTCCCAGAGGTCTCACCTCGTCTCCAGGGCACACCAGCCGCAGTAGGCGTCGGCCGCACCCACGCAGTCCCCGCAGGTGGTGTGCACAGCACACGCGGCGACTTTCACCCTGGCCATCTAGAGGCAGAGGCAGGGGCCCAGATCAGAGGGGCTGCCGGCCCCTACCAGGGGAGTCAGCACGGCAAGGGCCGTGAGAGGCTGGGAAAACTGAGGCTCGATGCTATAATGGGGGAAACACAGGGAACAAGGCTGCCCTGCAGAGGTGATGCCTGCGCTGGGAGGGGAGGACGAGCAAGCCGGGGGTAAGGGAGAAGGTGCCCCCAGCAGCAGCAGCACGCGCACAGGCAAGGCAAGCAAGAGAGCTCGGCTCGTCCTGGGACCTCGTCAGACTGAGGCTCAGGCCTTACCTGGTGGGACGTCATCAGATAGAGGTAACTGGGGTCCGTGGGGTCAAACTGCATGACGTGGTGCACAGGCTCCCCGTAGGCCACCGTCACCGCCTTCCTGCTCACCACCTGCATGCTCTCGTTCAGATTGACCTGGGGTTGGGGGAGCCGTCGGGACGGTGAGCCACGAGGGTACCCCCGGCAGGGGAAGGCCGAATGCGGGGGACCTGCCCTGGGGGTAGGGGCTGACCCGGGCTTGGAGTCTCCGCCTCTGCCCCTCTCTTGGGCCCTTCCAGGACTGGCAGCGGGTCACTCTACGCTTTTGCCTCTGCTGTGCCCCCACCAGGGCCTCCCTCGCTGCCCTTCACGGGCACATCCAACCCTGTGAATAGGTTCGGGCTTCACAGTTTACAAAACATTCTCTGGGAGGCTGCTGGTCATCATACCAAGGAGCAGGGACTTGGGTTTGAATCCTGGCCTTGACATTTACAAGCTGCACAAAGTACAAGTTGTCCAAGTCACTTCCCCTCTCTGAGCTAATGGGGCTGATGACGATACCTGCCCTGCGTGACCACGGAGTGCGCTAAAGAAGACGTGGGCGAGGCGCTGCTACGGCCAAGCCCGGGAGAAGCTGCAGAGCCACCCGTCTCACCCCTCCCCTCTCACGCCCATCCCACAGATGAGGAAACTGAGGCGCAGAGAAGCCAAGGGACTTGGCAAGAGTCCTAAAATGAAGATGCCTCAGGGTCACGATGCAAGCCTAGGCCTGTCTGACCCCAGAGTCCAAGGCTGGGGCTGGGGTGTGGGGTCCAAAGTCCGGGCAGGAGAAGGACCAGGGCTAGCTGGGGCCTGGAAGCGCCTCTGGCTGAGGGCCCCTCTGCGTGTCCCCCAGAGGACTGACAATGCCGATCAGAGACCCATCAAACTGCTCTCTTCCGGCTGGTCTCACGATCTCAACATGCTGCCCTGTCAAGGTCCTGCCAAGCCCTGAGCTGGGGTCAGGGGTGTAGATGCCTCCCTGGGGCCTCCTACCACCCAGCCCTCCTCGGTGGGCTCCCAGACCTTTAGTGGCTCCTCCTGTGTATGGCATCAACTTGTTCTGGCATTCAAGGCCCTGACGATCCATCTCAGCTTACTCCACCAGCCTCATCTCCACCCACTAAACCCGACTCAACATCCCAGCCTCTGAGCCTTTTCCCATGCTGTGCTCCCTTCTGGAACACTTTGCTCTCCCCCTTGGACCAAGATTTGTCCTCCCAAGGTCTCCAACAAAAAGGAGGGCTTCCCAGATGCCCTCCACACACCCAGTTGGAATTACTCTCTCCCCAGGTTCCCACAGGCTGTCCCTGCCCTTGCGACATCCCTCGTCCCAAGGGGCCTCTTGGCAGAGTCTGTCCCGGGCAGCTTGGCCCCATTCCCACCCCCAGGCATCCAGCAGACATGTTTCCACTCCTTCAACAGTCTACTGATGGGACTTCCCTGGTGGCGCAGTGGTTAAGAATCCGCCTGCCAACACAGGGGACACAGGCTCGAGCCCTGGTCCGGGAAGATCCCACGGGCCGCGGAGCAACTAAGCCTGTGCGCCACAACTACTGCGCCTGCGCTCTAGAGCCCGTGCTCTGCAACGGGAGAAGCCACCGCAATGAGAAGCCCGCGCACCGCAACGAAGAGTAGCCCCCGCTTGCCACAACTACAGAAAGCCCGCGCACAGCAATGAAGACCCAACGCAGCCAAAAAAACCCCCAAAAAACAAAAAACAGTCTATTGAGCACCTAGTGTGCTCTGGGGCCTGGGCTGGGCGCTATGATCTAAGCCCCAAGCTGGGCAAGTGGGCGGGAGATGAGCCAGCACAGCGCAGGGTGGAGGGTGAAGAGGTCCAGGTTGAGGGGTGGGGTGGCTCTGTGCTGACTGGACCTGAATTCAACCCAGGCTCTCGCTGTGTGACTTTGGGGCAGTCGTTTCCCCTCGCAGAGCCTCAGCATCCTCATCTGTGAAATGGGGATCATGGCTCTGCCTCCCTTGAAGGGATGTGAGAATTAAACAAGATGATGCCCGTGACATGCCTGTTGAGGCTGGGTAGACAGTGGTGCCTAATAACTGCAGCTTATTAGGTGGGGGAGACTCCTGGACAGATGGGGAAACTGAGGCTCAGAGTAAGAAGTAACCACCCCAGGTCACACAGCTGGGAGGGGAGGAGCGAGGATCCCCATCCGAGTACCTGACCCCAAAACACAAGCCCCACTGTCTGCAGACCCTCAACGGAAGCTCTGAAGGTTGAGGAGGACCCCTGCCCCCTCCCTGCTCCCACTCCTGGCATCTCCCCCAGAGGTGTCAGCGGGCGCGCTAGGGTCCGGAGCCAGGCACGCTGGGACTCTGACCCCCACTGCTCACCCCCAGCCTGGGGCATCTGCCTAGGGAACTAAGGGAATTGGATTATCGGATCTGAATCAATTAGGCCAGGGCCTGGGGCCAGTTGGAGGCATGCCAGGTGGCTGATGTTCCCCACAGGCAGGGTGTGGTAGGTGCCTGGGGGGCAGATGCACGCCCTCACCTGGAGGCCCCTAAGTGGGGAAACCAGATTCCTCTCACCCCTTCCCAGCTCCAGGCAACTCAGGGCCGGGCATCATTACCTCCAGAAACCAGAGAGCGGCCAACAGAGTGGAGGAGGAAACGGGAGGGCGAGTCCCCGCTTGCCAGGCTCTGGCCTCCCCCCCCACCCCTCGAAAGCCCTACAACAGTCTCAAGAGGCCGAAAGTGCAGCCCTTAACAGATGGGGAAACTGAAGCCAGGAGAGAGAAAGTTCACTGCCCAAGGTCAAACAGCCTGCAAGTGGCAGAGCCCAGAGACCTGAACTCAGATCCACCCGGTTTCAAAACCCCAGTCCTGGAGCCCTGAGAGAAGGGTTCCCTCCTCTGCACGACGGGCACTTACTGCTGTGAGTAAGAGTGGAAGACACAGACGTGGAAGACGCCGCCTTATAACCCGTGGGCCCCTCCCCCCAAGCCCTGCCCCCTACCCCCCCGGCGACCCCCCCAGGCCCAGCCGTACCTTCAGCAGCCGGCCACTGACTGTGCCCAGGAAGACCACCGTGTAGTTGCCCACGCTGGCCACAGCCACGGAGGAGAGGCCCGTGGCTCGGAACACGGGCGAGGCCTTCAGGGGCTGCAGGATGGACAGGGGGGGCTGCAGGTGGGCGGCCCCGCAGTCCAGCTGTTCCGGCTGCAGCTGGAAGAGAGACGCATGTCAGACCTCGGCTCCGGAACCTTCTCCGGCTCCCTGCGCACACAGCCGGCTGTGGTCTCCGGCCTCAGCATCAGTGCTTTTAAAGTCCTGCTCCTGTTCTGTATGCCCAGCGCTGGGCTCAGGCCCCAACATAAGCAGGACCCCGTCTCTGGGCCCAGGTCGACCCCTGCCCTCGGCTTCAGTCACGGAGCTGCCCCAAGGAGATGGGTACGTTCCGGGTGTGCAGGAGCTGCACAGGAGGAGTCATGTGAGGAAGGCAAGAAGGCCCAGGGAGGCCAGCCTCTGCCCCAACTTACCTGCCGACACCCAAGAGGTGTCCCTCCTGCCCCGGCGAGGTCTCCACAGCAATCATGGGGTCTCCTCCCCCCAGGCCCCTGCTCTGACCCCAGCAAGCCCCTCCCAAATTCCCAGCAGCTCGCCAGACCCAGGTTGAGGGCTCCCCAAACTGAGGTCCCTCTCTCCTTTCCCAACACACATCCCTTCATCTGCCCACATTACAGATGGGCAAACCGAGGCCAGGTGTGTCCAAATGCACAATCCTGCCATCCACAGCAGCTGCACCTCACAGGGGCGGGAAAACCGCGCTGGCATGCCCAGTCCCCGCCATTCCCTGGACTTGCGCCCACCTTTTCCACCTTTCTCTGAGTTTTGTTGGTTCTTTCAAAGGTTTCTCCTGCAATCTCCACAGAAGTACAACACAGGCCTCTAGCAAGTGCCTTTCAGAAGACAACTGTGCAAATCCACAAGGATGCAGACACAAGGGTGTTTTAGAAGAGTAGGGGTTGGGGGACACAACCTCAGTGTCCACGAGGATTGAGCACATCATCCAGGAGAGCCACCCCAGCCCTGGGAGACACCACAAATCTGCACTGATTACGAAGAAAGATATCTGGCTGAGAAAAGTCCCAGGATGTCATGGGGCCTTTTTGGTAAAACTGGCACATAAACATTAAAGTAACAGTCACGACAGTAAACATGATACAGGCCACGTTTACTGGGAACTGACCCTGTACCGAGTCTGTGCATCAACTCCCTGAATCCTGGCAGCCCTCTGAGGTCCCATGTCACAGACGGGGAAACTGAGGCTCAGAGGGGATGTGGCCTGCTCCAGGTCACCAGCTGCAATATCATGCCACCAGGACTGAAGCAGCCAGCAGAACTGGCTTGAGGGCACGGCTTTAGAGAGAGGTTTTTTTCCCCCTTCTCTGGGCTTTTTGCAGGCCAAAGCCACTGATGATGTGCCCACATGGGTTTTGTACAAACTCTCAACTAGTTTTCAAAAGCAAACCATAAATACCAGGTCCTTCATTCTTGGGAAAATAAACAGCTGAGCCCTGAGTCCAGCGATGGGGTGGGGCTGGGGAGTGCCCTAGGCCACAATTCATGACCGGGTGGCCTTCCACAGGATGGCCAGGAGCGACCTGAGCAAGTCGCTTCACTCCTCTGAGCCTCGGTTTACTCAACTATAAAATGGGTGCATCTCCATCACCTCCCTCATAGGCACTCGGATAAGACGGTTTATCGTAAAGCGCTGGCACGGAGCATGGCTCACAGTAAATGCTCCAGAAGTGTCAACTGATACTATCGCTGTTTCAGATATGACAGTCACTGAAATTATTATTATAAAGTGGAATCTGGGGGCAAATCATGCCTACCTCAAAAACTTTCTAACCTGGACCACCTGGGACCACCTTAAGGCAGCCATCCTCTCACCGAGGAGGCTCTTCCAGGCCCCTCTTCTCTGGGCCAACTCTTGCCCTCAACATTTCCCTCTGAACACAGCTGCCAAGTGAGCCCTTTAAAGGTACAAAGGTCTCCTCTGCTTGAAACCCTCGGATGGTTTACACGATACTGAGAATAAACCTTGAATCCTAAACCCTCCCTTCAAGCCCCTGGGATCTTCTGGGCCCAGCCCATCCCATCCTTGCCCTCACGCCTCCACTCCAGCCACACCGGCCTCATTTCTGTCCCTCAAACAGTCCAAGCTGGGTCCTGCCACAGGGCCTTTGCCTGTGCCAGTCCCTCTGCCTGGAATGCCACTGCCCAGACTGTCTTATCACTGGCTCTTCACCTTTCAGCTTCAGACTACCCTGCCTGACCCATCCTCTGTGTTCACCTCTGTGCCCAAGTTGGGGGCCAGCCCTGGAAGGAGGCTGCTGGCCCATCTCCTCAGAGGCCTCTCCCAGCCCTGGTCCCACCCCCCGCAATCCTGCGGCTGCAGGGAAGAGATGAGGTGGCTCCACCAGCGAGCAGGCAGAAGAGTGGGCACGTGGGCCCAAGACCTGTCATGAGGATGCTTTTCCCAGGGGTTGTCTAACTTTTCTTCACTGAAATCTGTGGATTACTTGTGTCATTTAATAATACGTTGTTCTAAAATTAAAATAGTAAACCCTTGCCCAGGGGACAGGCGCTTCCTCCCTGAGCTGTGGGAGGGGTGGGAAGGCAGGAAGGGGACACCTGGAGGGCCTGGGTGACAACTTTGCGATTTTCTGCCCTGGGCCCTGCGATGGGGGGTCCCCAGCCAGCCAAAATCGGGGGTCCTGGGAACAGCTGGACCAGGCGCCCAGATCAGGGTGATTTCTGGGCCGGGGGTGCAGAGAGGATGAGGTGGGAATGGCTGGGAATCTAGCTCTCGCCTGCCCGCCCTGACGCTCACAGCCATTAATTCCGCACTGGAGGAATTCTCTAAAAAGCCTTTCCTCTGACTTTTTTTTTCTTATCCTAAAAATAAAATTTTAAAAAAATTTTAAAGGAGAAGTAACCCGTTGGCTGCTCTGCGTGATCTGTGCTCTGAGGGGGAAGCTGGCTCCCCAGCCGCTAGGGGAAATCACAAGGCTACGACTGACTCGAAAAAGGAAGCCAGACACACGTCCATTGGGCAGGCGGGAAAGGCCTCTGCTGTTGGGGGATGTGGCCCGGGAAAGGGGGAAAGTGGGCTCGGGGGAACTGGCGGCCGTCCCGAGTGTGCCCTCAGCCGAACCCGGTCTCCAGGGGCAGTCAGCTCCAAGGCCCAAAATACTGCTTGCCCTGACTGTGTGACACGGCCTGAAATCCCTCCATCAGCACCAGCCCTCCCTCCAGTCTCACTTGGCATTGGTCTTTCAAAACACAAATTCCTCTGAGAGCAGGGGGGAGGGCTGGACTCTCACAGTGGCCTCCTCCAACCCAGAAGGGCCACCTTCCCAAGCACAAGACTGGAGAGCCCCTCCCTGGCTTTTGGCCGTCCTCAGGGTCAAGCCTGGCATTCAAGGCCTCTGTGATCTGGCTCCTGCCGGCTGCTCAGGACTGGAGTCTTACTCCTCTCTCTGCCCCGCCCTCATCTCCGAGCACATCAATCTCTGCAGTTTCTCAAATGTGGCCACACTTTCCTCCTGGGGCGCCTGAACCTTCATGATGTTGTTCCCTTAGTAGCCAACGCCCTTCTCATACCTCTGAGCCCTCTACTTCCCCTCTTCTTGACCCACACTGTTCCCTTTGCCAGGCGTGCCCAGGTGGCAAGTTTTCAGCCAGCTTTCAAGATGCAATTCCAAAAAAACCTCTCCAGCCCTCTGTGACAGCACTGTGCTGGTCACCACCTTCATTTCTCATGGTAGCGTATGCATGAGCTTCTCCAGGGTGGAGACTGTGCTCTGGGGTGAGTGTTTACTAAAGAAAGGAGACTAATTTTGACTAAAGTGTGAATGACTGTATTCAGCTTCTTTTCCAAGCAGAAATAATGAGAGGGACTTCCCTGGTAGTGCAGTGATTAAGAATCTGCCTGCCAGTGCAGGGGACACGGGTTTGAGCCCTGGTCCAGGAAGATCACACATGCCATGGAGCAACTAAGCCCGTGCACCACAACTACTGAGCCCGCGTGCCACAACTACTGAAGCCCACGCGCCTAGAGCCTGTGCTCCACTGCGAGAAGCCACCGCAACAAGAAGCCCGCGCACCACAATGAAGAGCGGCCCCCGCTGGCCGCAGCTAGAGAAAGCCCATGCGCAGCAACGAAGGCCCAATGCAGCCAAAACTAACTAACTAACTAAATTTATATATATAAAAAACAAGAAACAATGAGAGCAACACTGCACTGCCATGCTGGGCGCTGGAGAACGGAAGGAAAAGTATGGGTCAATTGTACGTCACTGTGTGTGTGACAACACAGGGGAGCCAGGTGTTCAGTGCCAGGCGGCACCTGGCTGCTACTTTTGGTTCCTCTAAGAACCTCAGTTGATCCTTCCCTAAACTGGGATGAGCAACGGGCGGCTGCTGGTCTCAGCTCTTTTCTAGGAGCAGGACACCTCCTCCTCCTCCACTGGCTGCCTCTGGGGGCCAAAGCTCAGCTCTGCCCACTCTCCCACTAGAACTCTGACATACTGATTTCACTATCAACTGTAATTGTGTTGACTTTCTCCCCCCGGGAAGCCAGTTGGAGCAAGAGCTTACAGAGCCTGGCTTCTCAGCCTCCCGCCTCCTGCCCGCAGACCCCACCAAACCTCAGCCCCACTGCAGGCGGCACTCCGAGGAGGATGAGGCGTCAGTGGCAGACTACAAGACCAGCGGTTCCGCCCCAGGTGTAGACTACACCAGCTGTCGGGGTTTTGTGCTTGGGAAGTGAGGGCACTTTCCTGCCTCAAGTTTTTGGTTGTTACCGAACCCCGATCCCGGGAAAGTGAGCTTTCACTGCTGAGGAGCTGAAAGCACACCAATCACTTTGGGGTATTAAGCAGCAGACTGCAGGGAGGCTGCCGCTCACCACACGGGGCTGGGGGCTGCACTGAGCCCCCTCCCACTCACCCTTCCACAGCAGCCAAAAAGAGCTTTTACAACCGCAAAGCACTAAATGTGACGTGGGATCCCGGAAAAGAAAAAGGACATTCGTGGAGGAAACTCTGGAGTTTAGTTGAGAGTAAAATACCAATGTTGGGGGCTTCCCTGGTGGCGCAGTGGTTGAGAGTCCGCCTGCCGATGCAGGGGGTGCGGGGTCGTGCCCCGGGCTGGGG